CCATGGCAGGGTTTCTCCTTCTTTTCCTGTGATTTCAACCCTGTTAGGCCCTGGCGCATCCTGGACTCTGTTTCCAGGCTGGTTTCCTTCGTTTTACTTACACCTCTGAGGTTTGTCCGTATGAGTACATCTCTGCCTCCCTCTCAGGCCTGTGCAGGACCAAACACTGTGCCCTCAGCGTGTAGAGACGATGTTCTTAGAAGAGTGCCCAGCATGCTGTGGGTGCTGCACAAGTGCTGGGTGCCAGCTGTCATCTCAGAGCGTGGTCACACTCTTTCAGGAGGCCCCATACCTGGGTTAGGTCCACTGCCTGCCCAGGTGGGTGTGACGCGAGTCTGTGAGTCTTACCGCTTCCTTCCTAGTTTTTCTTTATGTTCTTTAAATTTTTCTGGGTTTTTTTTTTTTTTTTTTTTTTAGTAAATTTTATTCTCTTTCTCTCTCTCTCTCTCTCTTTCTCTCTCTCTCTCTGTGTGTGTGTGTGTGTGTGTGTGTGTGTGTGTGTGCGCGCTACCCAAGGTCTCATACTGTAGCTCACGTGAGCCTGAAATCCCTATGCAGCTCACCAAAGCTTGCCTCTGTCTCTCCTAGCTACAGATACAGGTGGTATCAGCTACCGTGCTGGGCTTATGTTGTATATTTTAAAGTAAGGACACATAGCTACAATGTATAAATGGTGAAATACAAGTGTACATTTGAATACAGTGACTGAAAGTACATATATTGGCTGGAAGCCCTTATCACCGATAAAGGGTAGCAAGCGATGGAGTTTAGGGGCCGCTTGTTACTTCTCTGTGCCCAGGGGAGCCTGGCAGTCCTGTAGCCCGGACTTCCTCCTTGGATCCTGCTCCATCCACACGGGCCCTGTGGTTCCTCTGCATTGCTTATCTCCTTGTTCCTCCATATCCTCCTCATTCTCCAGCTCCTTTTCTTACCCAGAAGTTTACCTTAAATGACATTTATCCCATCACCAGAGACAGTCCCAAGTTCCAGCTTAATGGAGTCCTCCAGGATGCTCTGTAGTTCTTACTGCATCCTGGCCTTGCTGTTTTCTGTGTGTCTTTTCCACGCACAGGCTCCCATGGCCACACCTTTAAACTAGGTCTCAGCGCTGACTTCACTTTGAGCTGTTTTGGCATCTCTCTCTCTCTCTCATGTATCATTTATCTGTAGACACATACTTACACTTCTTAGATGACATTAATATACCTATTTTTTAATCACAGTAATACATACTCTTTTACTCCAAGGAAAAGGTTCATTTGTTAACTCCGTGATCCGATTTGTATTTGACAGTGAGCTTCAGCTTAGGGCATATGTCTGTCTGCTTTGCACTAATGAGATTGTCGTGTGTGTGTGTGTGTGTGTGTGTGTGTGTGTGTGTGTGTGTGTAGATCATTTTCTTTTACTCCCCGTGACATAACGTTATATTCTAAATGCTGAATGCGGCTAGAGTCCTGAGTTCTGCATGGCCTCCTGGGAGGTCCCGCTGGTGGGAGAAGCTGTGGTGTACACGGGGCATGGCTCTGCCTCCTTACGTGTGGATATCTTTGTTGCAGACACCATCAGTGTAGGGGTCAGAAGACAGGCATCTTTTAAAGAGGCTTCAGGTGTGTGTGCATGTGTGAGAGGGCCTTGTAGTGCTGGCGCCTCTGGAGGTAAGAAGAGAGCATTAGATCGTTTGGAGCTGGATTGACAGGTGGCTGTGAATCAATGATGCGGGTACCAGGAACCGAGTGCTCTCAGCCACTGAGCCACTCGGCCTGTTCCATTGGGTTAACCTCTATCTGTCCTGTCATAGATTCGATCGAGATGTCTAACTTCTCAAGGCATTCACTTACTAATCTACCGTGGAGTCATGAGTTCATGGGGCTGGTGTCTTGGGGCGGTGCTTTCTCCCTGGAGACTGCCCCTTACTGTCCCTTTATGGGAGGAGTCCTCTCCTGCCCTTGTGAGCCCTGAGTACAGTGTCTTTAGTTTAAACAGACTCGGAGGAGAGTGGACTAAGCTTAGGTTTGAGCTTAGGTTTGGCCCACTTTCTGCTTTGTCTCTTCTAGAATGTCTATGGCTTCCCTAGAGAGGATGAAGATTAATTAGTTAATGTTTGCAAAGTGCTTTAAAGTGGCAAGTGCTGTGTAAGTGAAGCGGTTGAATTGCCGTTGGCGATGTAACAATGACGGCACCGTAGTCTGCCAGTCTTGCCTGTCTCAGACATCAATAATCAATAACAGAGAGTTGTAAGACGTTTTACTTGATTTGAAAGAAAGGATTCAGGTATGAATACACAGCTCTTTCTGTGGTCAGGGAGATAGCTCAGTCAGTAAGGTACTCGCTGTGTGAGCGTGAGGACCTGAGTTTGCGCCCCACACAGAGAAAGCCAGGCACAGTGGTGTGTACCTGTAGTTCCAGTGCTGGAGAGGCAGAGACAGGAGGGTGCTTGGGACTTGCTGGCTAGACAGTCTTGCTAAACTGGCAAGCCCCAGGTTTATTGGGAGACTCTGACTCAAAAACAAACAAACAAACAAACAAAAAACCAAAAAAACAAACAAAAGGTAGAGAGCAATGGAGGAACTGGCTGTGTTTACATGCATACGTGTGTGCGCGAGCGCGTGCGCGCGCGCACACACACACACACACACAGAGAGCAGTCATCTTCAGGACTCTCCTACTAAGGCAGTCTGTTAATAAGTCCTGACCATCTTAGATAGAGGGATAGCTGGCTAACTGGGCACAGACTATTCTCAGGCCAGTCCACATACGAGAGGAAGGAGGTTTTCATGATTACAGTGACTTGAGCCATAATGGACATAGTCTGGGCCACTTGAAGAGGCACAGCTTATCTGTGTGCCCCAAACAGGCCAATTCTCTGAGCTTACTTTTCTTAACTGTTAGATGTCAGCATGTCAGTTAGAGAACACAGAGGTGCTAAGTTTCATCTTTCCTGGGGAAGTTGAGAGTTCAAGAGAGGGCTCATAGGACCTTAGACTCAGTAGAGCTGTGATCGCCAGGTTACAGCCGGAGTGGTAGTTAGTTCACTGGGTTGGGAAATGGTAGCCAGCCGCAGAAAAGGAACAGCACATGGGTATGCGGGGGGCCATAACACCCCAGTCCCCTGTGGGCTGTACGGTGTACGGGCTTGGTTCCTGTCTTAGTCAGTGTTCTGCTGCTGTGAAGAGACACCATGACCACAGCAACCCTCATAAAGGAGAGCACTTATTTGGGGCCGGGTTACAGTTCAGAGGGTTAGTGGACTGTCCTCATGGTGGGGACATGGTGGCACACAGGCAGATAAGATGCTGGAGAGGTAGCTGATGGCTCTGCGTCCGAATCAGCAGGAAGCAGGAAGAGAGACAGTGGGCCTGGCTTAAGCATCCGAAACCTCAAAGCCCACCTCATCTGACATAGCTCCTCCAACAAGGCCACACCTCCTCCAACAAGGCCACACCTCCTCCAAGAAGGCCACACCTCCTAATAGCGCCATTCCCTGGTGACCAAGCATTCAAAGATAGGAGCCTAGGAGGGCCTTTCCTAGTCAAACGACCTCTGTCTCCTATCCTAGGGAGCCTAGAAGTCAGATTTCTGTGTCTCAGCCTTGGCGTCTGCCAGCCTGCAGAGCCCCGCATGCCCGTGGTCTTCCGACATTTCTGCCATCGTCTCGGGCTGTTTCTTAGCTGACACTGGAAGCCATATGTTTCATGTGGGGCCAGATGAAGCTTTGATACCAAACACAGTAGCTTTGTCTTGGATTTAATATGCATTACGTGGTGTTTTGTTTCTTCAGCAGAATTTTTCTTTGTTAAAATAAACACAGATAATTTATATGGCGCACATGGTTATGCATATTTATTGCAGAGAATCTGTTAATAATCTATGCCTTGTCAGATTTTGCAATTCTGTTGGAATAACAAAGGCAGCACTTGGTACAACTGAATGAATTTGGTGCAGTCTCTTATCTGGGGAGTGAAGGGCCATTGCCCCTCTTCCAACCCTCATTTTTTTTCTGTCACCTGCGTCACTGGCTGGCTCCCCACACGGTGCTGGGTAACTGGATGCATTTCTGGCTCTTTACACTTTCCTGCTCTCGCTCCCTTTCTCCTAGCCCACAGATACGCTTGGACTGTTAGGATTGCCCCATTGGGTAAAGGAGGAGTCCATATGTCCCCAGGAAGGGACAGCAAGAACCCAGCAGTGAGCTAGGGGGAACGCTCTGAGAGATTTGAGGCATGGGAAACTTCAGTGAGGATACAGGGCCCCTGGATTGGCTAGGAAGAAGGAGAGCTGAGATCAGGCATCTGGGCAAAACGGAATGGGAGGGAGGAGGGCTGGGAGAGAGTGGGAGGGCCACCAGCATGGTTGACATCTACCCATGATGTCCTCCCTGCGCAAGAGCCACATCATCTTGAGACTCTCCTCTGGATCAGGCTCTGGTCCTCTCTACTTGTCTGTTCTTGGGGGGGGGATGGTCAGCTTCTCCCAACTTTAGTTCCCACTTATGTGATAAAGACTCAAGGATTCTTTTTCTTAAAAAAAAAAAAAAAAAAAAAAAAAAAAAAAAACCTCTGTCTCTGTCTGTCTCTGTGTGTGTGTGTGTCTGCGTGCGCGTGTGCACATACACATGCATGTTTGAGATGCCATGGTTACAGGACAATCCTGCATGGTTCTCCTCTTCTCCCTGGTTTGAGACAGTCTCTTGTTTGCTGCTAGGTACCAGGCTGCCTGGCCCGCAGGCTTCTGAGCATTCTCCTATCTCTGCCTCCCATTTCTCCCTAGGAGTGCTGGGACTGCAGACATGAACCGCCTCATGTCTGCACAGATTCTGGGGGTCTGAACTCAGCCCTCTTCTTCCGTGGGGAGGAGTCTGAGCCGCCCTCCCAGCCCAATGCTCATGTTCTTTATTGGAACATAACAAAATAAACATTCACAAGTTTCCTAGTCACCCATTGCTTACCCTTGAGAGCACATCTGGAGAATGTAATGTTCATTCAAGTCATGCTTGTTTGCAGAAACTGGCAAGGTGTTTACCTGGGGTCGAGCGGACTACGGTCAGCTTGGGAGGAGACTGGAGTCTCCTGAAGGCCAGGAACCCCGAAAGCAAGCGTCACAGCTCACCTTCTGGAGGCCGCAGAGCAGTGTTCCTCTGCCTCTGCACTGCCTGACAGGAGCAGCCAAGGTAAGTGGTGACTTTCCTCGTCTCACGGTGAAGTGTCTCCTGAAGGCCTGCCGTATGCCAGGTGTTGTGATCTGTTCATAGAGGAATCTGAAGGCATCCTTGCTCACAAGAAGCTCATGGCTTACTATGGTAGAAAAGTTGGTTTTTGGTTACCTAGGTGTTCATCACCGTAAGTCGGACTATGTATCTCATTTAGGGAGGTTCAGGGTCCAGAATTGGAGGGATTGGCTTGGGTTTGAGAATGGCGTGGGCTTGAGGTTTGCCTTGAGGGATGGATGGGACTTGAGCAAGCATTTGGAAGAGGGAGGAGGACTTTTGGGGACATAATAGCTTGAACAGAGTCACACAGGGTGGGATGTGAGGGAAACATGGGGGCTAGGGCTTGGAGCACTGAGGAGGGGGAGCGGCTGAAACCCAATCTCGGAGGCCTTAAATACGAGCTAAATATTCTGCACCTCTGCCTATATTTCCCAGTGAAGAAAACGCTGTAGTTCACTTGCTTATTCAAGCTACATTGGCTCGCTGAGATGTCCTAAAGTTCTACATTTAAAGCAGGGATCTTAACTTCTCCAGGGTGTGTGTTTCTGTCACTACAGTTTAATTCATTGCTGTCCTTTTTGTTTGTTTTCCAACATAAAATTTTTATTGATTACTTGGGAATTTCACGTCATGCACCCCACGTCACTTCCCAGTCCTGCCCCGTCTACCTCCACCCGTGTGACCCCCACCAAAAGAAGAAGCCCAATGTGTGTTGCCCATATACTCCCTGAAGCCTGATCGAACTCCTGGGGGCCAGCCCCCGTAAAGAAATCTGAGTCTGAAACTGAGTCCTGGGGCATTTAGAGGATTGCGCATTAACAGTTGTTTCTTTGAAATGGTCTTAGTTTAAGGAAGGAATTCAGTCTTCATTCAGAGTCTGTGGGAAAAATTAATAAACTAGTAAGACTTCTGTAATTAGCTCGAGGCTAATTACAACCCTCTCCACCTGGAGGGCGTCCCTTCCCCAGGGCTACCTGGCTACCTTTTCCTGGTTTGTAGGATGGTTCTGTTTAGTCTTCACATCTGGCCCTCCTTCTCCTGAGCCCTTCCCCCTGTACGCTTGAGGCGTACCTTTTCTTTCTTCCTGTCCCTTTGATTGATAAAGCACTAAATAGCACTACAAAGACAGTGTGTACAGCAGTAATAATAATCCCCTCCCAATCCCCCGCCCTGACAGAGCACATTCTTGTTGCACGTGCACGAGTCATACTTGTAAAAGGTCATAGAGAGTATTTGTGATTCTTTCCAGCCTTTATTACAAATGCTGTTTCCTCTTGGTCTTAGAATGATTATTTAAAACAACTACAGACAGCCAGTGAGATGGCTCTGAGGTAAAGGAGCTTGCCACCAAGCCTGAGTTTGATCCCCGAAACCCATGGTGGAAGGAGAGAACATATTCCCTCAAGTTGTCCTCCAACTTCCGTTTATGGGCTCTGACTTACAGGTGACCACATACACACACACAAAATAAATAAACATTAAAAAAATTTTTTTTTTGTTTGTTTGCTTTTTTTTTTTTAAGGGCCATCTAACATTGCTGGCTGGAAGTTTCTGAGATTGTTTGTTTGTTTTGTTTTGTTTTCTTAAGGGCCATCTAACATTACTGGCTGGAAGTTTCTGAGACTTTCTAAAGCATTCTTTAGACAGATACTTTCCTTTTTATTTTACTTATTTGTTCATGTCACTGCCATTGAGCTGTGCCGTGGAAGCTGGTTGAACTGCTTTCTTAAGAGACTCTAGGGGTGAAGTTCAAGGGCAACAGCCTTGAGCATCTCTGTGATATCTACTGTATTTCTCTAGGTTCTGTTTGGCTCCTCTAGTGAGGGCGTGGAGTTTTTAGTCTCTTCTGCATAGTGCGTTCATTGCAGAAAGCCTGGTACACAGTGCGATGTCCCTAGCGTTCCCTGCCTTTCCCATGTCATTTGAAACTTTGGTTGGCTTGTAGCAGAGGCACTGAGGCCTCCTCCTAGGTTCTATTGGCAAGACGCAAGTCACAATTCCTCCGGTGGATCTTACATAACACACAGCGCATGGCTGAGGGTAGCATGCATAGTTCTTGTCAGGCAGTGGGTTTGGTAACTGTCGGTTCCCTTCTCTTCTGCTGGAAGCATTCAGTGATCTGTGTCGGCCCAGTGCGGCACACTGCTGCAGACGCAGTACAAGCATGGCCCTGTGAAGCTGATATGCCATGACTGGGTGCGGGAACTGGGGTTCAGCCTAGGGCCTTGTGCTTGTGCATGCTGGGCGGGCCTCCAGCACGTCAGTGCATCTCCAGCCCTGCTTTCACTGAGTTGCTCAGACAGGCCTTGAACTCATGATTCTCCTGCCTTGGCCTCTTAAAGAGCTGAGATTAAAGCCCTGCGCCACCAGGCCCAGCAGCTGTGCCTTTTAGGAGCAAGGTAAGGAGTCATGAACCCAGCCCCCTCAGCAGCTGTTTTTCGAGCTCTCTTCTTCTGCCCCAGGCTCTGGGGCTGATGTGCATCCTTGGGGGTCTCTGCAGGTTCAGACTCCAGGCTGCCACATTTGGTAAAGTAAGTGTGTGTGTGTGTGTGTGTGTGTGTGTGTGTGTGGTCTCCTGTCGAGACCCATGTCTGGCTTCTTTAGCATCTGTTTGCCAGAGGCCCAGGGAGAGTGAGGCTGGTAGGTATTGGGCAGATTTGCCTTGGAGAAGACAAAAGCCATACTAAGCTACGTGCTACAATGGTCAGGGGCTTGGACCTACAGGGACCTAAGTTGGACATACATAGCTGACCACTGCCTTTAATTTTCATAAATTAGTTTTCATGCCCAAGGGATAAGAGGCAGGACATCTGCAGAGAAGAGTCTAGAACAAGAGCCCAGCCAGGAGGGAAAGCATAGACAGGCACAGCGGAAGTACAGTATAACCACCTTCTTCTCTGGAGTGAACACAAAGTTGCTAGAAATTTGTGTGTACCAGTGTGCTGGATGCATAATGAACGCATCTTATCTCCATGAATGTGTGCACACTAGTAAAAGCTGTATGAATAAGGATTGCAAGGCTCGGGATGGGGCCTCAAAAGTGGGCCAGGACTCAAGGTGCCGGCCACCCTTGCATCCTTCTCTTCAGGTGAAGCTCATCCTTTTAACATGTGCCCTTTCCTGGATGAAAACTTCTCAAGTCTGGGCAGCAGAGCCTCTAATGGCCTGAAAGTGTAGATTCTTTTATTCTGAGCACTGTCTCATCTGGGGATGGAGTTTATGTGGGATTATAGTCTGGGTGGTTTTCCTTTAGTGCGTGTGCCCACACTATCTGGTTTTACATTCTAGTTCTGTCTAGCTTCCTTTGGGCAATTCCAGAGGCCATACAGTGTCGGGGGATTCACCACCACACACATCAGCACAGTGCACGAGCCGCTTTGTTTGCTAGTGACTCTGAGCATACATTTTAGCGGCCCGTGCTTCCTAAGCCCCCAGTGGACTATCGCGCATTTCCCATGGGCACTGACTCCGACTTGCACCCGAGGGTAGAACCGTGCATTTCACAATTGGGGAGAAGTACTGAGTGGGTGCACAGGGGCCTCAGCAGCTGGAGTTGATACCTGGCTTGCCTCCGAGGACCTGGGGTAAGACCCAGGCTGCAGGTTAGCGTTGGGTCTCACTCTGTTTCCTCCCTGATGGTGAATTTGGGTAAGCTCTTCTCTCCTGTCTTCCTAGTTTCCTAGGACATGGGCTGGTGCACATGATTCTGACAGATCTAAGAGTCTCTTGCATCTCTCTCCCTTTTTTCTTGGCCATGATACTCCTGAAGTTCATGATGACCCTCACTTCTGGAGCTTGTCAGTTTCGAAGCTTTGGTCACTAACCCCAAATGGCAGCTGGACCCTGGCAAACCCGGAGATGCTGGTTCCTCTAGAGGTCTGAGCCTCGGGTTTATTTGGTTTGCTTTGCCTTTTTGACTTCTCTCCTTGTCTCTAGCGCAGTTAGACGGAAGGACCTCAGATGATGCCAGTGTGGGCTTCAGATGGGCGCCTGCTCTGCTCTCATGCCTTCTAGCTCTGCGTGGTCTACCCAGAGCTTGCCATTTGGCTCGTACTCCTGCGGCCTGGTGTTACCCCCTGCCCGTCTGGGTTCCTTGTTAACCTGCCTCTGCTGTGTGCGTGCGTGTGTGTGTGTGTGCGCGCGCGCGTGCGTGTGTGTGCGCGTGTGTGTGCGCGTGCGTGCGTGTGTGTGTGTGTGTGTGTGTGTGTGTGTGTGTGTGTTCTACCTTTCCACCTCACCAGGGTCTCTGACATTTCCCCCTTTCTGGACTTTGATGTCTTTTCCTTTCCTTTGTCAGCTGCACAAGTGTTAGTAGTCAGAGAACTTTCCAGTACTGAGTAAACTGTGTGGGGTGAAAGTGTTGTAGAGAGAGGCGCAAGGAAGCGGTGAAGACAGAGTGGAGGAAGCCGCCGAGGTCAGCGGGAACTAAAACACGCTGCTTTGCTGTGCCTTCCTGTGCCTGAGCCTGTCCGGCCAGTCCCGTTCCCGGGCACAGTAGCGAAAACAAAGCCTGGCATGCGTGATCCTGTGAAGTTAGGCCTCAAGAGGGCTGGTGGCTTCCATTTACCAAGGACACTGGGGCCTGAAGAGGCTTGCTAGGAGGTGGGAGAGGGGACGCGGGACAAATGACCCGATTGCCAGTGTTTCTGAGGGCTTGCCTGGGCTCAGCCTGCAGTCACAGCCCTGAGTCATATCCCTGGTTTAAATTCTGCCCACGTTTGGTTGAGGAGCACCAAATCTCAGCACGCACATGCACGTGTGTCCACACACAGCCACGGGAGCAGGGGCCGTGGAATTAAACAAGCGTGGGGACAGACACTGGGCCACTGGGAAGCTCAAGCCCCTGCCCTCCTTTGGGCAGGACAAAAGCTGCAGAGGATCAACCTGCACACAGGGTCGGAGTGAAATCTGTCGGAACGAGTGGGAAAGGAGCTATTTTTAGTTTGCCGAGTCACTCACTC